ACGGACTATTTGAAATGTATTTGTGAAGATCAGACGACGTTTGTAGGTTTGCAAGAGGTTTTGTGAGGAGTATGATTGGAAGTATTGCAAAAATGGAGAAGGGGAAGGATGATTTGTTAAGAGGTGTAAAGGCAATATAAAGTTAAAAAGGTAAAGGTAAAGGTACCCCTGCCCGTACGGGCCAGTCTTGACAGACTCTAGGGTTGTGCGCCCATCTCACTCAAGAGGCCGGGGGCCAGCGCTGTCCGGAGACACTTCCGGGTCACGTGGCCAGTGTGACATCGCTGCTCTGGCGAGCCAGAGCCACACACGGAAACGCCGTTTACCTTCCCGCTGGTAAGCGGTCCCTATTTATCTACTTGCACCTGGAGGTGCTTTTGAACTGCTAGGTTGGCAGGCGCTGGGACCGAACAACGGGAGCGCACCCCGCCGTGGGGATTCGAACCGCCGACCTTTGGATCGGCAAGCCCTAGGCGCTGAGGCTTTTACCCACAGCGCCACCCGCATCCCAATATAAAGTTAAGAAGTGGTTAAAACGGTGGATCATCAGAGGTGCTGATGGAAGTCTTAAAAGATTGTATAAGTGATAAGTTTTGTGGTACATTTTATAATTTATATGTTAAAAGCAATAAAAAATATTTTTTTAAAAAAGCAGCTCTCACACACCTGTAACCGTAGCTGAAAGGATGGGCACAGGTGAAAAGCAAGAGACAGGTGACGGCGATGGTCAGGGCCTCAGGCCCCGCCAGAACAAAGGTAGAAACTGTAGCTCCTGTTCCAACATCGGGCAAAACACCTGCCCTTTGAACGTCTTGCTGTTCTACCTCCTCCCTCGCTTAGCAGGTGCCAGGAAACCAGGTGGAAGGGAGATAGATGGAAAAGCAAGTGTCCGCCTCCCGTCCCCCCCACAAAAAATAAATAAGGCAAGGTGTGCAGAGCTGGAACCCACAAATGCATAAAACATCTGCTGTTTTGCCAACGCGTAAAGAACAAAAGGCTGTGAAAGAGAAAAGCCGGCTGATACGAGTTCAGGCCCGGAGACTATGACGCAGAGAGGGTATCCTTGTGCATGTGCAGAGCGCCTTCCCTGCATTAGTGGAAAATGATATACAAAATGCAATTGCTATATTAATTTTATTAATAGAGCTCCTTTGTTCACTTTCTTCAGCTGCCATTTGCCTGATTTATTGGCACGCTCAAAATATTTTTGTTTCATTCTTTTTATTTTCCAGCTGAGTTCCTCATTCATTATCATAGAATATTGAGTTTGTAATGTTCTAGTTAGGGGACGCGGGTGGTGCTGTGGGTAAAAGCCTCAGCGCCTAGGACTTGCCGATCGCATGGTCGGCGGTTCGAATCCCCGCGGCGGGGTGCGCTCCCATTGCTCGGTCCCTGCTCCTGCCAACCTCGCAGTTCGAAAGCACATCAAAGTGCAAGTAGATAAATAGGTACCGCTTACCGGCGGGAAGGTAAACGGCGTTTCCGTGTGCTGCGCTGGTTCGCCAGATGCAGCTTTGTCACGCTGGCCACGTGACCCGGAAGTGTCTGCGGACAGCGCTGGCCCCCGGCCTCTTAAGTGAGATGGGCGCGCAACCCCAGAGTCGGACACAACTGGCCCGTATGGGCAGGGGTACCTTTACCTTTACCTTTAACGTTCTAGTTGCCTGTTTAACTGACTCCTGATTTGCTTTCTTTGACAATTGTTTCTCTTTTTCTGCAATCTCTTCTAAAATCTCTTTTCCCCTTTTTTAAAAAATGAATTTTGTTCTTACATTACGTTATTGTTATGTTGAAATTGTTAATAAAAATTTTATAAAAAACAAAACAAAATGCAATTGCTAAATAATAATAATAATTCTGTACGTAAGGGCAAAATTGCATCAAAATATGTACAGTGGTACCTCGGTTTAAGAGCAGTCCGGTTTAAGAACAATTCGGTTTGCAAACTCCGCAAAACCAAAAGCAGTGTCCTGGTTTGAGAACTTTGCCTCGGTTTAAGAACGGTTTCGGTTTAAAAACGGTCTTCTAGAATGGATTAAGTTCATAAACCGAGGTACCACTGTATCCCTTAGGAGATCCGACAAAAAAATTTGAGGAGTTGTTCCAAAAAAGGACAGAAATGTAGCAAACCGGACGAAAGATCAGAAAAAGGAGAAAAGAGAATCAGCAGGACTGGAATCTTATTGGGTCTTTGGGAAGGGGCTGTAGCTCTGCTATGCATGCAGAAGGTCCTGGGTTCGAATCTCGGCATCTCCAGGGAGAGCTGACAATAATGTCCCCTGCCTAAAACCCTGGAGAGCTGCTGCCAGTCTGGGCAGACAATACTGAACTAGATGGACCAATGTTCTGACTCCATATAAGGCAGCTACCTATGTTCCTGTTCAAAGCGGCCCCTTCCTCAGAACCATGAGGACTGGAATCTTAACTTTATTTTTATGGGAAGGGGGGTAACTCAGAGGATAGAGAACCTGCTGTCCGCTGCCTGAAAACCTGGACAGCTGCTGCTGGCCAGTGTAGACAATACTAAACTATACAGTGAAAGTCAGCTTGCTATAGTCGGCTCAGAACCACATTTCTCCTTCAGAACTTCCCATATCCATATCCCATATTCTTGGGAGAAAAGCAATGACAAACCTAGGCAGCATCTTAAAAAGCAGAGACATCACCTTGCCAACAAAGGTCCATAAGTTAAAGCTCTGGTTTTCCCAGCAGTTATGTATGGAAGCGAGAGCTGGACCATAAAGAAGACTGGTTGCTGAAGAACTGATATTTTTGAATTCTGGTGCTGGAGGAGACTCTTGAGAGTCCCATGGACTGCAAGAAGATCAAACCTCTCCATTCTGAAGGAAATCAGCCCTGAGTGCTCACTGGAAGGACAGATCCTGAAGCTGAGGCTCCAAGACTTTGGCCACCTCATGAGAAGAGAAGACTCCCTGGAAAAGACCCTGATGTTGGGAAAGATGGAGGGCATAAGGAGAAGGGGACGACAGAGGACGAGATGGTGGGACAGTGTTCTCGAAGAGACCAGCATGAGTTTGACCAAACTGCGGGAGGCAGTGGAAGACAGGAGGGCCTGGCGTGCTCTGGTCCATGGGGTCACGAAGAGGCGGACACGACTAAACAACAACAAGGGGAGATCGCAGACAAAAGCTAGGTGTATTAGGAGGAATTTGCATTCAAATGCAGTTGAATGTTCATGAGGGCTTTTAAAGAAAATCATAAACTGGCAGTGGAAATTTGGAGAACCGAACTTAACCCTGGGAAAGTGAGAGAAAATGAAATTGACCAATTTGCCCGTTCCTAGAACTTCCATTTGCCAGAATCCTTGCTTTTTTAAAAAAAATAAAAATGACCCATTACTGATTATTAATGTTTTATCAGGTGTGTTTGATGAGGCTTCACTGGCTAACTGCTTTCATTTTCAGTCTCCTTGGTTATTTGGGCTTTTTAAAATAATAATGGAAAAAACACCCAACGACCCAATATCTTGATGAGTTTTATTATTCTTAGCTGCCTCGGGGGATGTACAGAACAGCAGGGTAAACATCTTTTCCTAAGGAACAAGAATCACTGTTTATTATTTATAAAGGTGCCTAAAGTCACTGGGTGCTGCCAAGAAATTAAACATAAAAACTGGGTCCTGTCTGCAGGTTTGCAATCTAAGGGGAAGCGTCACAGCCCAGTGACAAAGCACCTGCTTTGCATGTAGAAGGTCTTGGGTTCGAGTCCTTGGCACCTCCATGCAGAGATGGGAAAGCAGTGGCGTAGCGTGGGGGGTGCCAGGGATGCCGGCCGCACCGGGCGCAACATCGGGGGGGGGGCGCGAGTCCAGAGGGCCCAGCCCCGTCGTGCCCTCGGCCCGCCCCTATTGTCAGAGCGGCCGGCCAGCCTCCGCCTGCTCCTACCTTGCCCACCCGAGGACTGCGGCAGCACCCGCCCCCGTGGCCACCTACCCCCGCCTCGCCCATTGGCTTGCCTCCCTCGGCCCCTGCCTCTCTCCGATGGCCGCGGGGGTGTCCTGCTCGGTGCCGTCGTCTTTTTTCAGGAGGTAGGGAGGCTGGACGGGGAGGTGGGGTCGGAAGCGGGCAGAGAAGGAGGGGAGCTCGTAGCCAAAAGGGCTGCGCCGGCCGGCAAAGGGCCGGGGAAAGTTTGGAGAGGAGAAACGCACCGTCATGATTTCCCAGTGGAAGCGGCAGGATTAGGGATGGCGAAGCGTAATTACGCACAAATTTCGCTGGGTGAGAGCTTCGGGGATCGATTGGCGGAAATGGGAATCAATTGGAATATGAGAGAGAGAGAGAGGGACCATAATTCATAGGCATAGATTTGTAGGGTTAGGGGGCGCAAATCCACGGGTTATGGGGCGCAAATTACTTGCCTTGCCCCGGGTTTAGGGGCGCAAATTACTTGCCTTGCCCCGGGTGCTGACAACCCACGCTACGCCGCTGTGGGAATGTCCTCAGCAAAAACCCTGGAGAGCTGTTGCCAGTCAATGTAGACAATATTGAACTTGATGGACCAATGGCCTGATTCATTTTAAGGCAGGTTCCTAGGTTCCTGTGATTAAAATCTCACCCTTCCTCTCCTCTGGCCCGAGATCTCTGCAAGTTCTGCCCAGACAAACCTTTCCTGGCATCTGAAATGTTGCTGGACATCGGCAAAGATTATCCTGTTTACTGACTTCTGACGCCATGTGTGTTTGCCAGTTTGCACCTTGGACCTCTGCCAACTCCTGCCAACCTAGCAGTTCAAAAGCACGTCAAAGTGCAAGTAGATAAATAGGTACCGCTGCGGCGGGAAGGTGAACGGCATTTCCGTGCGCTGCTCTGGTTCGCCAGAAGCGTCTTAGTCCTGCTGGCCACATGACCGGGAAGCTGTACGCCGGCTCCCTCGGCCAGTAAAGCGAGATGAGCGCCGCAACCCCAGAGTCGTCCGCAACTGGACCTAACGGTCAGGGGTCCCTTTACCTCTGGAACCAGGCTCCACAAAAAGGCACTGGCGATTCAGACTAATGTATATACAAGGTAACAGGCAACTAACTGATTTTATAACTTAAACCGCAACCAAACAAAGGCATGATTTCTAAGGGCAGCACTCCCGCAGAACCTCTCCTTGTCTAAGCGAAGAGGTCTTTGTGTGTGAGAGAGTGAGGGAAAGAGAGAGGGTTTGAGTTGTCTTTCGAGGGAGACAACTGAGCCTGAATGCAGGGGCGAAATCTCAGGAGAGTCCATTCCCCAACTGGCTCCACAAAGAGAGAAACGACCATGTGGTTATTTGCAAGAGAGACAGACAGAGAAAGAGAGAGAGAGAGTCGTGCATTAACAGTTTTCACGGCAGGTGACCAGGAAGGTGTGTTTGTGTGTGTGCATAGGGGACGGACGGCGAGGTGAAGCGCAAATGCCGCAAACAACTTACCCCGGGTAGCGTCTTCTGCTCGTGAAGAGCACTTTGGGCCTTGAGAGCTGACTCGCGGGCGCAGTAGGTCAGGAAGGCGCATC